GTTTTGGAGGAAAATGAAATCGGTCAGGTGATTGGTTTTCAGTTTTTCCAGTCCAGTCTGGTTTTGAAAATAATGTATAATACCGAAAAAGCTTTTTGTCAATCAAAACTTCCTTTTGAATTTTGATGAAAATTCATCTCATTAGTTACCATTTTTCAATTAAGAAATATATATTATTTGATTTTTTAATGAAAACATGTATACATATAACGAAAATATTTGTATTTTTCTGTTTTTCTTTATTTAAATTATCATATTTTATTTTTATTTTAAGAATTTATTATTCTTTTAAACTAAATTGGATCGAATCAGATTTGGATATTCAACATTTTTATTGGATTCAAATTTGAACCAATATTCATGAAATCTAATCAGATCAGATCGAATCTACAATTTATCGAATTGGAATCGTTTATAGCTTGATTTGAATCCAATTGGATATTGCGTCCCTAAATCAAAGCACCCTATGAATTTTGATAAATACCTTTGATTGGTCATATTTTTTTATGATAACAGTTGATTGATTATAAGTTTTATGCTATCATATCTTTCTAGTATCATAGTCCAACTCTTTTCTTAATTTCATAAAACATGATAAGTTATATCAATCTCAATAATACTGGAATTTATAGAGGGTCTCTCTCTTGGTAGGAGGGTTTCTCTCTCTGTGTGAGGGTCTCTCTCTCGGTGGGAGGGTTTCTCTCTGCGTGAGGGTCTCTCTCTCGGTTGTAGGGTTTTCTCTCTCACGTTTATGGATGTGAGTTTTTCTCTCTCACGTTTATGGATGTGAGCTTTCATTTATTTCTTTGCATATCAGTATTTGTTGGAGAGGTTCTTTGGATAGATTTGAGAGATGACGGTTTTGATCTAGGCCTATGGAGTAGACTTGGGATCTTTGGTTCTATTCATTATAATATTCGTTTTCCCTCTACTCTTTTTTTTTTTTTTGTTGGCCTTGGTTGAATTTATGTGTGCTGTCCATTTGGGGTCTCTCCAGCAATGTTCATGCTCCAACTGTTTCGGTTTCTATAACAACATGGATGGGTGGTATTTTGCATATTTTATGTCCCTACAGTTATAAGTTACAACTTCTTTTGTGCACTTTTGAATTTCTGTGGGGCTCATTCCTTGAATGCTTGGAAGGTGGAGCGTTAGGGAGAGTTTTGTAATAGGAGACGATCTTGGGCCTCTCCCACTTTCACATTTTCAATATTGCCATGGATTGGGTGCCATGGTACCTATTTTCTCTATACCCCATTGAGGGTTTTGCATATAATTGATCCGGACTCATTTGGTAGGGAGACACTACCCCTTGAGAGTTTTGCATATAGTTGATCCGGACTCATTTGGTAGGAAGACACACTTGCTGACTTCATCTCTATTGGAGGCACTTAGCCGACCTTTATGATGTTTCTTAAATTTATGTCAGTTATAGTGATTTCTCAAGTCTTTTTTCTCCTAGTACTCGTAGTTATCTGTTATTGTCTCAGCATGCTTAACATACCTTTTTAGTTGTATTTTTCATTACTGTTAATCTTTCTAATTTATAACCTGAGCATTTATGAATGAACTTGACTTTAGGCGTAAAAGATAAAAAGAAACAATACTGAAATTAGGAGTCCGAGTTGGAATTTGCTACTAGAGTAATGAATGAGTAGGCCCATTGAGAGAAGAGAGACAATTCGGTTGAGTTTTGGGATGGAACTCCAAGAGAATCTTCAATACATTGTTTAGGTTTATCATGATTAATATAAGAGTATAACTATACATGATTTGAACTCCTTATCAGTATCGATCACAGCCACCATCCAACGACTTTGAATTATCGTGAGACCATTTGACATTATTATATCTAACCATGTCTCTCTATTAATCACTGTTTTCAAAACCTGATTGGACTGGACGGTCAGACCAGAAAAACTGGAAATCGATTATTTGATTGGTTCTGTTTTCCTCTAAAATTGTTTTTTCCCTCAAAATCGTTAATTTTGATCAACAAATTGCTGAACCGACTAATTAACCATTCAAACCGGATCCTTAACCGATTCAATCACCGGTTCGTTTTTAAAAACCAAGCTTTTAATTTGTTCCACTGATTAGTCCACAATGTATACTGATCAACTGAGACTCGCTTGAGTTAAATACATTATTCTAATTAACTTTGTCAAATACTCAAATTACGGTGATCAGACCAGTCGGCCGGTCAGACTGTTGGGACGAAAAACCGTTTTCCAGTTGTTTGAAATGGTTTCCATTCATCCATTGAGAGAGAAAGAGAGGAGAGAGGAGCCATATCATATGTATCTTTATCGAATCTGTGAATCCGTGTCTATGCTGGAATAAATCAACTAACATACCAACTGAGTCGTCCCTGTGCTGGCAACATATATAGTTATTGGTTATAGATATGGATGTTTGGTTTTAAAACCATTTTTTCGATAAAAAAAAAAAAACTGAGATCGGCTTTGCTCAGGGCAAGCCTGTACTCACACCATACCAACAGCCTCTTGCAACTTTACATCGGAAATATCTTTCCATAAAATAAAGCACATGAGTGTGGAGATATTCCCAATGCAAAACTGTAAAGGCTGCTTGAATGGGTATTTCCCTGATGGAAGCCAAAGTCAAAAAAAAAAAAAAAGTTCCTCATTGCCCCCAGCAGTTCAGTTGCACGGATCCGATGTGTATTCCATGTGGCAATTGATGATGTGTAATTGATGTGGCGTAATTTGGCTGCTCCCTGCTGGAGACGATTTGCCTGTCAGCAATGACGAGAATTGAGGTTCCTGCAAGAAAGGAGTCAGAGATCCCGGGGTGGCTTACCCGGCGAGAACACTCCGATGGCTAAGTTAGCACTTAGTAGCAGAGAGCTTAAAGATGATATCAGAGAAATAGAGAGCTAGAGAGCAAAGATTACACACATACCTTCGCCCCTGGGGGGTGAAGTCTTTATATACTGGAGTCCTCGTAGGTTTGGTGGAGCAGTTCCTGGATCCCCGCTGCGATGGGATCTGTTTCCGTGTTAGGTGGGAACAACACAACCAACCAGTAATGTTACCCATTTCCGCCTGAATCGAGGAGTGGGTGAGCTAATATAACCGTTACAAGGTACGATCCCATAAGATGCAGAGTATGGTGACGAGATCTCCGCGGTTGCAATGCGATGGTTGGTCTGATTAGGAGGCGAGTTGCCCGTAAGGTGTGCTAGGCTGCCTGGTGGCGTGCTTCCTGAGCTTGTGCTCTTTAGATCCGACCTGATATGAATGCCGAAGTGCCTTAGTGCTGAGGTGATCTTACACCGAGGTAGGCTTGTCTCGATGTGGATTCTTTCCGAGGTGGTCCATCTGTCTAGGTTCAATCTGTAGTGGACTTGATATCGTTATCCCAGTCGCGATCTGATACCAGGGTGACTTCAGTTCGGGGTATCAGGGTACCCGAGGTTGCTTTGTAGCGAACTAATCCGTCACTTGTGTTGAGTCACGTCTACGTGTTGATCTGATCATGTTGAGTTGTCACTTATGCCGAGTCACGTCCGCGTGTCTCCCTGTTACGAGGTCGGACCAAATTTCCCTTCATCAGTAATGAATGAAAATGTTTTGGTGCTTTTGAAAATTTTTCTTCATGAAAACTATCGCACTGTTTTCCCATTCAAGGTTTCTACCGTTTTCTCATTCAAGATTTGGAACAAGATCCCTACAAATACTTCACAGTTAAGCTCACACCATGGTTATTAAAAACGAACTGGTGACCGAACCAGTCAGGGGTCCGATTATCGGTTCAAACGGTAATGATCATTCGACCCGAACGACCGACCTGTTCTGACAAAAAAATTAAAAAATTGGAAAACAATCAAAATCGTTCGAATGGTTTGAATGTTTAATCAGTCGGTTCATCAGTTTGTTGACCAAAATCAATGGTTTTGGAGGGAAAAGCGGTTTTGGAGGAAAACGAAACCGGTCAGGTGACCGGTTCCTAATCTTTCTAGTCCGACCATCCGGTCCGGTCTGGTTTTGAAAACAGTGCACCAGATTATCCAATTAATACTTTGCTGAAAGCCTACTTGGCACAAAACAGCCAAAAACTTGGAAAAGAGATAATGTACGTATTTTGTATGGCTTCTGTTTATTAAATAAATGTTTATAATTGATTCTCTTTAAAATCTTTAAAACTGGAAAAAAGTGGTTGATAAATGTTTTTTTGGTAGTTATTAACGGTTAGACGTCACTATCCACCATTAGGTGCCATATAAGCAGAACAGTAAATAAATACCTTTGTGTTGGGAGAAATGTTAAAATGAAGCTTGATCTAGAAATTAGTTTACACGTAAATTAAGATAAATAAGTGTACAAAATAACATAATAGGACAAATGCCCACATGGCAATGATCTAACACCATTTATCTAATAAACGGAAGCCATACCAAACATGCTGAAAATATGCATATTTAGGCATTGGCATTTTTTTTTTCAAAAATCGGGCCGAAAAACGACCAACCTACCAAACACCATCTTAAAATGTATGGACAAACAAATGTGTCCATTGCACCCATTAAAGTTGGTGGGTGTGTTGTAAATGACAAATAGGCATAGGCCATAGGCGTGGCACTACACTACACATGCCCTTGCTCTTGCATTGCTGATTGCTTCAATGCAAACCTTGATACAAAGCAAGCAACAATTACTAGTCCAATAGTACAATAATGGTACAGTTAGTGTTATAAATGAAGTACACACGACCCATACATTCAACAGTTTTTAGAATAAAAGCAAAGTATCAATCTCAACTCTCGAGAGTGAAGACCCTCCCTCGTGTAAAGTAAAAGTGTAAAACATAAAACAACCGACCTCCTCCTTCACACTTAACTCCACAATCCTCATCCCCATTTGCCACCTCATCTACCTCCACAATTGATGTGGCTTCTCAGGCGGAGAACAAGCGTTCCAACTAAAATATTATGTTCAATCAAATATAACAAAAAACACAAAAGATAATCAAATAGGAAAAAAACAAACAAGGATAAAGACAACATCTTTATCTTAAAAAGTAATTTCTCTGTACATTATAAAAATGCCACTTCCACACACACACTCTCTCTCTCTATATATCCTTAGCTTCTCCACATCTACAGGTTACACCATCACCATATATGTAAACAGCTACACCTAGCCAGGAATTATTTACAAGAATATACTTTAAGCATTTATGCAAAGTGATGCTTCCCCTACTCCTATAGCTTATGAAACAAGACTTAGCTTCAATCCTATCTTCAAGGGGTTATGGCTTAAAATCAAAAGGAAAATATCATAGTTATTCAAACACACCGTTATAGTTTATATTCCTTCTATTTACATTCTGTACATCTAATTATATATATTTAACTTTGTTCCTTTTTCTATGCCTTTGTTCAAGTATTCCCTTCCCTTTCTCTAAAAGACCCTTCTTACTATTACCTTTCCACGTTTATTTCACACAACTGAGGACCCTTTTCCACCCCCTTTTTACATTCTTTTTTTCAGCTTTATTTATATATCTTTTTTTTTTTTGTTAATTCTACTTATTTCAGAATGGGGCTCGATGTGGGATTCCCTTCCTCCTGGACGTCCTGTAATTGACAATCGGAGGAGTCCCCGGAGAAATGTTCACGGCATCGTAACCCGAGCTATTAAACTTCTCAATGCCATCCTTTTCACCATCGGATGAAACCGCCAGTTCAATGAAGCGATTGAAGACAGAGGTCTTTCGGATCTTCTTCGGCGTCGACGAATCGTCCGACGATTCCCATCCATGCAACGCGTCTCGGCTGTGTTTCGATCGCAATGTGAATGTCAGGTCCGGGTCACCACGCTTGATGCCTCCGAGCTGACAATCAACAAGGGAATTTTCTTTCTCTCATAAGAATGAACACAGAGCAGGCTTCTAGAAAACAGGGCATAGAAACAGAGAGAAGGAAATCAACATAAACCCGGATTGGAAAATCGACTGAAGATTGTTGGGGAAGAAGAAAATCAACGCAGTCTGGATGAACACAGAAATAAAACAGAAAAAAAAAAAAGAGCCCGGACAAAAATCCATTGAACATTATTGATTAAATGTCAAAATTGGCCTACTCGTAGAAACCAAACCTTAATTGATTAAATGTCAAAATCGGCGTACTTGTAGAAACCTCAATTATTGAGGATTGATTCCTAGAAAACCACTGATTTTCTGCAGTCACAGAGAAACAAGATACATGGGTATCTACTAATGTTACTGATGACTGCAAACAGAATAAAAAAATCACGAAACCAATTTGGAAATAATACATGGAATTGGAATGCTCTGAGAAACTGGACAGACCACGCAAATCCAAAGGCGTCGGATGATAGCGTCATAAACAAGGTAATTTTAATTTTTTAACCGAGGAAGTGAACCGGAAAGAATGAATCTTACCTTACATCCAAGAGAGCAGAACCTGAAAGAATCGAGGAGGCTTCGGCAGCAGATCTCACAGGTGTTGGTCACGCCCTTCCCCGGCCTTGGCTGAGGCCGCTCGTTGAGAAAAACGATCTTGGCGCTGTTGATAATGTAGGTTTGAATGGCTGAGATGTCGATGTATTTCTGAACCTCATTGACCCTTATCACGTTGTGGTACGATGATCTCCGTATCTGTATCAACAGACCCCAAAGAAGATGGATTAAAACACCTGATTGACAGAGATGTTTATGCCAAGAATGAGTTTGGAGATGAAATAGGGACGGCAGACCTGAACAATGTGATGGTCTCGGTGGTGAATCACGCAGTAGGAGCAGAGAGCATCACCCATGCAGTCCAAGCAATAGAGGTTGCACTCGCTCTTGTTTGAGTCACAATGGATTCTACAGGGACTAAAGTAGTTAGCCTTCAACATCGGCTTCAACCATGGCGGACCTAGATCATCGTCCCCCGTTTTGACTGTCAAGCTCACCTAAAAACGCATACCCACATGCCCAAATCCATTAAAACCTCATCAAAACGCATACCCACATGCCCAAATCCAACCAAACAAGAGTAAGAAGAAACAGAACAGAGCATTCTCCAATGAGTGTTCTCATTCTCACCATGACTTTCTTTTGCTTGGCCTTGACAACCCCGATAGACTGCTGTTGATTCTCGATAGCCAGCTTGTCCAGTTATATATCCTGTCCACAGGCAGGAAGAAGGGGCAGAAGGCAAAACTGAAAAATAAAAGCAACCCATGTTAGAAATGAAAGGCAGAATAGATTGAGAGAGTACACACTTGAAATCAGCTTTAGCCTTGATTTCGTTCTTTACCTAGAATTGCGAAGCGTCAAGCTCTGAAAGCTCTACTTTTTTCGAGAAGATTCAGAGCAGAAGCCGCTGTGCTCTGGAGTTTGAGAAGGGGAGAGAAGCAGCAACAAGGAGAGAAAGACAGCGAGGAACTAAAAGAGGGTTTAATGGATCAAGGGAGAATATATGAGGCGGTCGCTAAGCGAGATTCTCTCTTCCCACCCATCCAATGTTTTCAGATTTTCTGTATTTATATTTTCTTTGTTTTTCTATGCTTATCTCTATTCTTTCTAATTCTAATCTCCTTTGTTAAATAGTGGTCAAAGAAAAACGTCATACACAGAGAGCAAATTACTTATACCTCCTTAGACGTGTTGGTCAAATACAGCTAAATCCCTAGGATTTATATAATTTTGAATATACAAAATTCTATTTCCTTCTAATTCATAACCTTTTGCAGTTTCTTGGTCAAATGGGGGTATGAGATATTAAGTACGTAAAGCCCAATAAGTATATGACAAAAAGCGGCTAAAGGCTTATAGGAAATTTTAGAGATTAGAAACTGGTGTTTGGGTTAATGTGGTTGTATAAATAAAATAATGGGTTGGTTCTTATCGCTTATGTCCATACATTTGTTTTTTCAATACATGACTTTGTCTTTGAAATCTTAATGTTGTTATATTTTTAAGTTGAAGTGGGGCAAGCATTCAATATTGGATAGAAGTGACACAATACTAGAGAAAAGGGCAAAAAGATAAGCCGGCCGGCTTGTTGGTTGAACCGCCAAAAATCTCTTCCAAATTCCGAGTGAGAGATAGAGCCAAATGCATAAATATAAATAATGTACTGAAGATGCCACTTGGAGTCTGTGTCCACTGTCAACACACACTCTAAATCTCTAATACATCAATGTTGATAGGGGTGGGGGTGGGGGTGGGGGGACGCATCCCAGACTCCCAGTCTCAACACACAATTAATAGCATGAAAATTGAAAGGTATTACCCAATCATGAAAGTGCAGCACCCTCTCAACTATCGCATATACTTCTTCTTCTCATCTCATAGTGGATAGTGGACTGCCCACTTTGGATATACGTTCCATGATCAGCAGTACCAGCACTGGTTGCCCTTGATTAGACGAACCAAACATTGGCCAAGTTACCCGGTGCTTATTATTTGCATGTTTTCAAAATCGGACCGGAAAAATCGGGAATCGTTCATCTGATTGGTTCTGTTTTTTTTTTTATAAATCATTTTTTCTTTTAAAATCGTTGATTTTGGTCAGCAAACCGCTGAACCGGCCGGTTAATCGTTCGAACAGTTTTGACTGTTTTGCAATTTTAAAATTTTTTTTTTGTCAGAATGAGTCGGCCATTCGGGTCGAACGGTCCGACCGTTCGAACTAGTAATCGGACCCCTGACCAATTTATTTTTAAAAACCATGCTTATTTGAATTTCAAATAAGTGATTATTGGATCATTGCTTAAAAATAAGTGTTTATAAGTATTTGATGAAAAACCACTTATTTCAAATAGGGATAGTATAGGTATTTTCAAAATGATGTGGCAGGGTAAGACAGGCCAAAATGGAAATAAGCGCTTGTCGAATTAATGCTTAATTTCTGTTTGATTTTTTTTTGGGATTTCGAGAGGGAGAAGACGGTCTATGGGATTTTGGTATTTATTGATGAAGATATCTATGTTCTTTTTTCAGACTTATGTGAGGTCTACGAAATTTTATTTTATTAAGTGATATCCATCTCTCAGGTGGGTAAGCAAACTTTTCCACATGGGGGAAAAAGTTTTCAACACTTAGATGACTTTCTTATGACTAAAACAATCATTGTTTTATTTACCTAGGAAGCAAAAGCATGAGTAAATACACTTACCCGGGCTCGAATAAGTACCTTTCCGAAAAACAAACGGGGCCTTAAAAATAAGCCCGAATTTTGAGCTTCTCAAATTCTATTCTTAGAATAAGCACTTATTGATGTGATCCCAGCCCAAAATAAATATTTATTTAAATAAACACTTTATTTTTAAGCACCCCCACCCTTTGAATCTATTAATACGAACAAGATTGCAGTCCTTGATTCACTAACTCAATAAGAAAACGAGTCGTTGTCATTGTTGATGTTGAGATATTGGGCGCGAGGGCTAGGCTGCCTCATTTTAATTTTCATTGTCATGGCTGTGACCAGGGGTGAAAATGGGTTGATTCGGTTCAGTTTCATGGAAGAACTTGGGTGTAGGTTCCAAGTTTTTGGAACCAGAACTTACCATGTGAAGATCGGTTGCAGGGTCGGTTCTGGCCTTGACGGTTCTGAGGTCGGCACTAGGGTCTTCCCGTGGAACCTGTTCTTTGTTTACTCTCCCTCTTAAAAAAAATGAAACATGTCCTTTAAAAAGTTGATTTTCACTAATGATAATATATAATTTAAAACTTATATTATGTTTATTGATTAAACTGAGTAACTTAATATGTAGATTATTATAATATATTAACATATGGTTCAAAATTTATCATATCATAATTTAAATTTTATAAATATTATCTTTTACATTATTAATTATACACATTCAAATATTAAAGTGAAAACAAATGATCAAATTACTTAAGTAACTCAGTGGTCAAGTGAGACCGTGGCTTTAGTAACACTGAGTGCTTGGGTTCAAATCTTCACATTCTTAAAAAAAAAATTTAAATTTATTTCAAGGAAAGTTCAGTTCCGAGACCAGATTCACTAAGGCCAACCAAGGCCGGTTCATCAGGTTGGTTTGGGTAGGGTAAACCCCTAGACCCTGGAATCAACCTTGGTAAGGGTCGGTTCCAAGAATTTGGAACTAGACCCTACCCTATAACAAATTGGGTAGGTTCGGTTCAAGACCAGTTCCATTCGATTCCAAGTAGAACCTACCCATGTGCTCACCCATAACTGTAACAGTAACATTAAGGTCTCCCATTATCATCCAACTTAACAAATTCAAAGCACCAAGGCGGACCATTTCAAATAATCCATAGGATGACTATTAATATCAACAACTATACATACTAGCTATGATTAGAAAAATAAGTAATTTGAAGATTAATACATCTTCTCCAACTTAGGGGTGTTAATGGACCAGGTTCAACTTGGACCCTGTCCAAATCAAAACCAATTTGAATGGGTTGGATGGTCCAATAAGATATATTAAATTGGATTAGTCCAAATTTACTAGTCCAAAGTATTTATTAGATTGCATTGGACCTGGTCCATCTGCAATAGATTTATATTGGATTGGATCGAGTTGAACCAATATCTTGTCTATTGACAAAAGACAAGAGTAGGGGTGTCAATGGACCAAGTTTGGATTAGACACAATATGAATTAAAACCAATTTGAACAGGTTGGATGTCCCAATAAGATATTAAATTGGACCAGCTTAGTCCAAAATATTTATCAGATTAGATTGGACCTAGCCCATCCGTAATAGATTCATGTTGCATTGGATCGGCTTGGACCAATATCTAGTCCATTCACAGCCGTACTCCAACTAGGGCTGTTCAAATAACTTTCAAATCGGATTCAGCAAAATCCAAATCTGTTCTGATTATTGAAAACTTGCATCTGAATCCGATATGAAATCTGGTCGGATTTGAATTTGAATCTTAATGGATTCGGATCAGATTTGGATTTAATTTGGCTCTATTTTAATTTTTTAAAATACAAAAAATATTAAAAAAATTAATTACTTTTCAAATTTTATATATAATAAATTAATGTAAATATAACATACTAAATTTATTACAGTATATAAATTCATATAAAATATCATATTAAATATAATTACATCAAATTTACATATTAAAATTGATAAATATTATAATCTAATCAGATTCGGATTTTGATCAAATCGAATCTGAATCCCGATTATTAATAAAATGCAGATTTCAAACTTTGAATGTAATCCGATTGCATAAACATATAATCGGATCGGATGTCGAATAGGACTACAGATTTTCGGATATCATTTAACAGGCCTAACTCCAATCCATCTCGCCAACATCTTTGATTTTTTTTTCTTCATTACACCTGATCTCCATAATGAAATGTACATCAAGTTTTTCATGTCTATCTGTTCCATATCTAAATTTAGTGGGTTTGGATCATTATAAGAGACAGTAGGACTCAGTGCCGGCGTTGGTAAGGTCTCTGGCAGACTGTAGCGAATACTAATATCTCCCTTCTTGTTTCAAAATGGACTAATACCTTCTCTGTCGACAGATGTTATTGAACAACATCCTCCTCTTCTGTTAGGATTCTATCAAGACCCAATTGCTATGTGACCTCCCCTCTGTCAGGATTCTATCAATACCCAATTGCATGTTGAAATGTTTTTTGTTTCGTCAATCCTTCTGTAATTGCTGGCCTCTTCTTTTGTAAGTTAATATGTCGCCCCTCAGCTCCAAATCTTCTAAGGAAACTGGATACCTAGGAATATAGAACTTACCTGAATTAATGGGATTGGACCAGTATAGTGGGTAGAATTGCGCTGCCCAATAAAGAGAACAATAGGTTCTACCGTCCATGTTTTCAAAACCGGACAGGACGGATGGTTGGACCAGAAAACCAGGAACCCGTCAGGTGATCGCTTCCGTTTTATCCCAAAATCGCTATTTGGCCAAGAACCGTTGGTTTGGTCAGTAAACCATTGACCTGGGTGGACAAATTGTTTGACCCAAAAACGGTTTTTGGCCATTTTTTGGGTTTTTAAAATTTTGTATATTTTTATCAGAGTGAGCGGGCCATCCATTCAGACCAGATGGTCAGACCATTCTACCCAAGAATCAGACCCAGAACAGTTTCCCTGTCTGATCCGGTTTTAAAAACCTTGTTATCGTCCCTTGCTATTCAATGGCATTAGGAACCTCAATAAAACATTGATAATTTCTGATGACTTGGGCGCTGTTTAGTTCTGTTGCCATTTATTTAACAAATATTTTTTATGGCATTCATCTTGAAAAAAAAAAAACAGTTAAAAACATTTTTTGATAGTTAGGCGCCATTAGACACCATTAGTCACTGCTTAATCCTTGGAGGTTAATATCATGCACGTTGACCACCCTCCGGAACGTTCGGTATGTGGGCCAACTTCCAAGAATCGTGGGAGTGTCGGGATATGCATGCGGAATTTGTCGGCAAGCACGTCTTGCAGGTCGCCACCTAGACCTCAGTTAGGCCGGCACGCCCTCGAGGGA